TCCATACGAAAACAGCATGGTTTATTTCACAAGAATGTGTAGGAAACCACATCTTTCATTGCAGCAAATTGCTGCAAGACGTGCAGAGCAAGAGCAGTGCAAAAAAAATCTATTTTACAAAATAATTATATTAAAGTGTGGAAAAAACACGAGCAAGGTCCATTTTACCTTATGCTGACAATTATTCTAAGACGTATGACCAATACAAATTTTTGAAAACTCCGGATATGACAATTCGTGTTTGTATACGCGACGATTGTTGTATTTTATCAGACTCAAGTATATGTTGGGTAAAAAATATTTTACAATATTGTTACGTCCAGACTCAAATAAAGGAAGAGTCAGCGGGAGAGCGTAACCTACTTACCTCTAGACAAACGCTAGACGATGCGTGTCCTAGAGTCGAACGAACAGACCAGGGCCCCAGATAGGTCAACGACCGAAAGGGTCGCTCTTACTCTATCGAAAGGCTGTTCGCTCGGTGGTCTCTTTTCTCGTAAAGGAACTGAATCCTTATTACCCGGGACGGGACCTTGTGCGATTTCGTGCAACAGGAAGGAGGTTGGGTTAATAAATTACTCGCATCTAAAATTTAACTTTACATTTATTCAAAAATAAAAACGAATAATTTTAAAAGATAGAATTTAATAATGAATCATCTAATTCAATTTAATAAACTGTTATTATAAAATAAACTTGCTTAAAATCCAATATGGTTGTGTGTGAATGTGTGTATGTGGATGAAAATTGTGTTCTCGCGGGTGTTACAAAAATACGGAGGACATCAACCGGAATTAAGCGGGGAAACTAAAATTTAAATTCCGAAGGGGGAGGGGGAGTGGGAATTCTCGAGGGCTGAGGTTCGAGAGGAGGTGAGTGAGAATGCTCAGGGGAAAAGACGGGGGAAGAAGAAGGAGGTAAAAAATCAACAGGAGAACTAGGGGGACAGTCTGAAGGGGGAGGGGGCTAGAGCTCGACCTGGCTGGTTGGAATGCGGTTCGCAGTCGCTGCAGTCGCTTGGCGCAAGGTCTTCCAAATTTGTACTGAATGTCTAACTTGCACCAAACAACGCGGTTTTCGAAACACTTAGAATTTGTATAAAAATTTAAAACTGAGCTGTCGAAGTGAGCTGCCGGACTTGGTGCGACGGTTCGAGTCAAACGGCGAAGATGGACTGACTTTTCTGAGGGAGGATTTCGCGTACGTCGAATCTAGGCGTCTCCTCGCATACCCTCTCCATTAGGCAAGCAATATTCTTTTTTTAACAAATCAAATCTTTACTATTTTACCCCTCTCATGAGTAGGAGGTACTACCCTTCCAGAAGAAGGTCCAGAAATTGCGCCTATTGGTGTAGGCCTTTCGTTTTTTAAAAATTAAGTCTCGCCCACTGGAGAGTCCGCCATGATCGGCCAAGTTGACAGTTTTATTATTATTTTGAAATTTATCTCAAACAGATAACACAAGAGGGTGGTCTGGCAGGCGAGCACGCAGTGTCAAGTATCGCGAGTTCTGCTTACGGATTTTGGTTTCATCCGTAAACCATCGTCTGTGTCCCTCTCCTTATGCTTTGTTTTAAACCTTTAAGCCCGTTGCGCGGACTTTAGAGTTGAATATTTCATTCATCTGTTTGTTTTCCGTACGCACATGGTCTAGATTTCTAGCGTTCGAGGGCTCCTTATCTTTGTTTAAAATTTTAGAATCTTTGACGTGGGCTTTAGCCCCGGAATATTTATTGATCCGTCTCGAATTTTTCAAACCTTTGACGTGGGTCTTAGTCCCGGAATATTTATTGATCCGTCTCATAGTTAAAAAATTGCATCGTTTTAAAAGATTAGTTTCGCCTGCTAGATATCTCCTTGTTTATTGTTTACGTCGTGTGCAGAAAGGTTCCAGAGCGTAATTTTTTATATCAGTGAAAGAGTTCTATGAAAGAAAAGAATCGTGGAGTCCACCGGATGTAACAGCTGCAATCTTTTATCAACGGTGTTGGGCCGTCGATGTGCGTTCGCTGCTACGGTTGATTGTAATGTTTCTAACAGCGACGATATTGTTGAACCTCCAAATCCGTCTTTATATGTTGCGGAAGCTTGTCCCACAAGTAGTGGACGTGATCGCCGCACATTCGCAGCAGAACGACTTTCGGCACAAATTGTAACTGTTCGGCGCTCAAATCGCAAATATCGGAAGGTCTCGACAGCAGGACGAACATTTTTGTTACTGAGCGATTCGCGGTTCCGCGCACCTATAAATAGGCGTTCGATCCAGCATTCCTCAGTCGACGGTGTGAAAAAATGAGATTCGTGCGACAACCTTTGGCGATACGCGTAACGAATTGCGACGACAGATTACGATCGATGGGGGACAACGCGGAGATGCGCAAGCATGGTACGATGCTACCTACTACTATACGCGCGATCGTTTGTGGCCCCTCGAATTGCGGTAAAACCAACGTTCTGATAAGCCTGCTGGAAAGTCCGCACGGTGTACGTTTCGAAAACGTGTACGTGTACTCGAAGTCGTTGCAACAGCCGCAATATCGATATCTGGAGTATTTGTTGACATCGATCGACGAAATCGGCTACTTCACGTTCTCCAACAACAGTGACGTCATTCCGCCGAGCGAGGCGCGTCCAAACTCGATCTTCGTGTTCGATGACGTGGCATGCGATAAGCAAGATGCGGTGAGAGTTTTTTTTTATTACGGTCATTAGGATTGCCTGTGTTACCATCGCCTCTGAAGGAAAAGGGAATGGTCGGGCTCGCTGGTCAAAAAAGGCTTCTATTTTTCAGTCCATCGGTCGAATACCGGAGCTCCCCATTCTTCGTCCAGGTACTCTCTGGGAGTATGTAGATATATTACAATGCAGGCTCTACATTCGCTTGCTGGTTTGATTCTTACGATCAATTTGTTGCATATGGTGCAATTCGTTTGAGTCTCGGCTGAATTTTTGTGTACTAGATTGTGCGGCGGCACCATTGTATATCCTTCTTTTTGTTCGTCAGACATACAAGTATAACAAAAGCAGCAGACTTTGTAACTATCGCTGGGGTGTTGGAAAAGCGAATTTTCTATCAGCTTGACGTACCGTAGTTCCGTCAAGTATCCATAGGTTTCGGGATGGTCCTGCGGTCGTACACCGTCAAGTGCCTCGTGTTCTTCTTCTTGGAATTCAGGGGTCAGCATGAGGCAATGGTACGCTGGCATTTTACTGTAATCGATAATCGTCGATAATACAACAGTAAAAAAAGGAAAATGGTTCTATTTTCTCCTTATAATTAATAATTATTCTAATGGATAATGTTGGTCAGGATATTACATGTTGATCTATATGTATACATATATACATATAGATTTTGATAACACAAAAGTAAATAGTGTTAATAGCGAAGAATACAAGAATTTAATGTATGGTTAAAAAATAAGCCTTTTTTATAAATTCATTCAGGGTAGGGTAGATCCGCACGTCCATATGTGCACGTGTTCCCCGTTGTTTTTATACGCAGGGAACACATGCTCGATCTTTTTTGTGCTTTGCCGGGCAAGACCGAACCGAATCAATGCATTCTTGAAATCATAAGATCCATAAAAACTGTCTACTCGTATTTGCAGTTCTACTAAGGCAGCCCCTCCCCAAAGAGGCTGTACTATCTTTATCCACCCTTTGTGTTCTTCTGCCATGAACCGGCAAAATTCTCTCGTGTCGCTAGGCCATATTGAGGTAGGGGTTATGCAGCTCGTATAAGGCAAGCCACATGCAATTGTTTGCCACGGCAGTTCCTTGAATTCATCTTCTAGCTTGTAAATTTCGTGTATTGGCAGAATAATCTTCGTACCGATATCTTTAAGAAAGACTTCAACCATGTCTCTAGTTCCTGTAATTTTGGTTATTAATCCTCTATGCCAGAATCCGTCATCTTTAACAGCAACGGCTTTTCTCCGTTTTATCTTACGCGATTCGAGAAGCAAGTTGACGCATCCTGTTATCCGAAAGTTGAGATCTTCTTCTAAATTTTCCAAGTCTCTTTCATTATCTCTAAGTCGCACCCAGAAAAGTAGTGGCGATTCCACATGCGTGATTTTCACTGCTAGACGTTCGCGAGCTAGTTGTCTGGTGTCGATTGATTTGATTTCCATTGTCTATAATGAGTAATCGCTGATTAACAGATATGTTTTTACTTTTTATTTTATAAACGGAAGCATGTAGCTTAAAGGTTTCCTTAGGGCGTAAATCAAAGTATTGCTTAATTCTAATAGTTTCCTCCTCCCTTTTTTATAGGATAATTTTGTTATTATCATTACTAAATGATAGACGCTAAGATATGCTAATATCAATGATCTCTCTATGTCTTTATATATATATATATATTTTGTTTGCTCCCCTTTTTTTAGACGCTAAGATATGCTGATATTAATGATCTCTCTATGTCTTTTTATTTATATATATATATTTTTTTGGTTTTTTTTTGTTTCCTTCCCTTCTTTTATATATATATATACATATAGTGTATAGTGCGGGGAAAGGTGTGAATGTAATCGAAGTGTATGAAATATAAGCAGTTTATTTGTAAGTAGTATCAGGTTGTTTACATGTTATGTTTATGCAGTTATGAATGTTATGTGTAAGGTAGAAATGGTGAGTAACTTAAAATTATAACACATAGGTTCTTTTTCTATTTTTCTCTTTTGTAATTTAAATTTAGTATGTGAGTGTATATATATGTGTGAGAAGGAACAATTGAGTGACTTAAAATTAATATGTATATATGTAAAATAAAAAAAAAGGAAAGTAATAGTATGAGTAACTTAAAAATTAATATGTGTATATATGTAAATACAAAAAAAAGGTAAAAGTATGAGTAATTAAGAATTAATATGTGTATATGAAAGAAAAGGATATAAGTGGCTTAAAATTAATGTATATGTGTATGAGTATATGTGATTCTTATTTTTATAGGAGTCTTCCTTTTAGAAGCCCCTTTTCTCTCTCTCTCTCTCCTTTTAAACAGCAGGAAAAACGTCCACTGTCACTTTCCTGCTGGTTCGTACGTGGCCTAATTGGATGAGCGTATCCCGCAGGTCGTACGACCTGCCGAAATTTTTGCCTAGTACTAATAATTTTACAAGGGCGGCTCCTCTCCTAATGGGCTGGACGATATTAATCCAGCCTTTGTGTCCCTCAGCAAGGATTTGACAAAGTTTGTTGGTTTTGTCTGGCCAGATTTTGCCGCGTCCTTCGCATCCGGTATATGCCAAACCGCAGGCGATACCTTGCCATGGCAGCTCCTTGTATCTATCCTCCAGATAATAGATTTCGTGCATCGGGCGCCAGATCTCCCTGCCATAATCTCCTAGACACATCTTGACCATGTTGTTGCTCTTGTTCACACTCTCAATACAGTCTCTCCGCCAGATATTCCTTCACAACTACGTCCTCTTCCTCTCTTATGTCTTCCGGCCAACAATGTAAGTATTTTGCCTTCCTTGACATGCGGAATTCTAATTCCTCTTCCATATACTCGAGGTCCTTCTTACCATTGTTAAAGTGAACCCAAAAAAGCAACGGGGATATCACCTTGATTTTCGTTACCTCAAGGCACAAGCGGGTCAACTGAGCCGTATCAATGGGCTTGACCTCTATTTTTCTATAAAAAGATTAGGTTTGTTTTAATGAGGGAGGATTTTGATCCCTTAGGTCCTCCAGGTCAGTTTCGGTTTATATCCCGCTCGTAGCTAGCGATCCGGGACTGACATATTTCCATGTAGGTTTTGTTAAAGGCCTCATGATTGCATTACGTAACCTTTACAGATTCAAATTCGTTGATTTGTAATAATTAGATGTAAGTTCTGCTGGAATTTACGTTTTGTTGCGGAATATCACATTCCTCTATATTTAATAATGATAAGGTGGTAAGATTAGCCGAGGCTGCAGGCTGTTTCGTTTTAACTCGGACAAGTTTTTTCAGTTGGCACTGCAAACATTGTTGTATATATTTTTGAACATCAGATTTTAAATTTTCCCAATAATAATTATGTTTTATTCTGTTATATGTTTTTGAAACGCCCCGGTGTCCTGCAGCTGGTGAACAATGCATTTCGCCACTTATAACAGGGCGTAAATCCTTTGGAGGATATTTAATTAGTCCATTACAAATTATTAGTTTAGTAGGCGCGTCGATGAATGCTAATTGTAATTGCGTCTTGATATTATTCCATGGGGCCTTATTAACGTACTCAGTTTTTGCGATACTGAGAGTTTCTAATTTCAAATTTTCAGTTACGTTTCGTAAATCACGTATGACTGTAGTGATTTGGTCGAGAGTCATTGTGGGTCCCTCCCGCTGTGCCTCACTAATCGGCAAAACCACATGGTGATAGTTCTTATATTTTATGGCTTTAGCCTGACCTAAGTCGAGAGGTTTTAGGTTCGGGAGTTCATTTCGTTCGAAAAGTTTCAAAGATCCTGAATCTAATGGGTTCCCGTGAGTGTCGACAAAATATGTTACATTGTCTTTCCGTAAGAATAATAATTCGCGAGAGTCTATAATATTACTCCTGATTATTTTATCTTCGGTGATTACAGGTTTTAATTTTCTCGCCTTTAAATTTTTGTTAATAATATCTTCCTCATTTTCTTCTTCGTTTTCCCTTTCACTGTCAAATTCTTTATCCGGCGGATCATTTCTCTCTACTATTTCTTCAATTTCTTCTACATTATTATGCAAATCTTTAATTATTTTATTTTCAATATTTTGTTTTACTGTCTGACTTCTTGTTTGAATTTTATTCTGTCCAGGGTGATCATGGATTAAAGCCTTTTCAGTAATCAGCGAATAGTCTGGTTCGTTTAATTCTGCAAGTGTAAATGGAAAGGTATCAGTAGTATTATCAAATAAATGATTTTCCGGTATTATTTCTTCAGTTTCTTTAATATCCGAAAGATATAAATGGAAGTCGTCGTCTTCTTCTTCTTCTTCTTCGCTATCAGATTTTTCTAATAATTCAGCAATTAATTGTGCATCGTCAGGGTTGTTTGGATTTAGCAATTTTCGATCTTTTATTATTTTACAATAAATTTCTTCCTGATTTATAGGGTTTCTCGAAAGAGCGTCTGCATTTACATTAGTTTTTCCAGCTTTGTATACTACGTCATAATCGTACTCCGATAAATTTAATCTCCAACGGAGTATTCGCATATTTGCATCTTGCGCGTTTTTGAACCACATTAATGGTTTATGATCTGTGACAAGTGTAAATCTTCTTCCATATAAATACGGTCGAAAATGTTTGACGCAATAAATTATGGCCAATGCTTCCTTTTCGTATGTGTCGTATTTCAATTCATTGTCTGTGAGGATTCTAGAGGCGTAAGCGATCGGTCGGTCTTTGTTTATCTCGCCTTGGGAAAGTATTCCTCCTACGGCTATTCCGGAAGCATCGGTGGTTAAAATGAATGATTTAGAAAAATCAGGATATTGCAATACTGGTTCTTCACATAATTTCTGCTTTAAAATTTCGAATGATTCATCTTGTTCAGATGTCCACTCAAAACGAGTGTCGTTTTTTAATAAACTCGTTAGAGGTTTTGTCAATTTAGAAAAATTTGATATGAATCGTCGATAATATCCGGCAAGGCCCAAAAACTGTTTAATATATTTCGGTGTTTTTGGTCTTGGAAAATGTCGTACTGCTTCTAATTTCTTCGGATCTGGTTTTACTCCGTCTCTGCCAATCACATGCCCTAGATATGTTACTTCGGTCTTTAGAAATTCACATTTATCATGTTGGAATTTTAAATTTGCTTTACGAAGTCGCTCTATTAATGCGTTATATTTTCGTTCATGTTCTTCTAAGGAAGTAGCATAAATAACAATGTCATCCATGTAAACAAATAACTCCTCGCCTTGTAATCCGGTTAGCACTAAATCCATTAAGCGTTGAAAAGTTGCAGGCGCGTTTTTTAATCCGAAGGGCATTTGGTCAAATTCGTAATGTCCGAATAGAGAGGTAAAAGCTGTTTTATGACTATCAGCAGGATCCATTTTTATTTGATCGAATCCGGACGCAAGATCGCATACTGAGAAATATTGCGTTCCTCCTAATTGATCTAATATGTCAATAATATTTGGCAAAGGATAAGTATCTCCAATAGTTTTATCGTTTAGCTTTACGAAATCGCTCTATTAATGCATTATATTTTTGTTCATGTTCTTCTAAAGAAGTCGCGTAAATAACAATGTCATCCATGTAAACAAATAACTCCTCGCCTTGTAATCCCGTTAGAACTAAATCCATTAAGCGTTGAAAAGTTGCAGGCGCGTTTTTTAATCCGAAGGGCATTTGGTCAAATTCGTAATGTCCGAATAGAGAGGTAAAAGCTGTTTTATGACTATCAGCAGGATCCATTTTTATTTGAATTAATTTTTTCTGGAGAGGTTTGGTAACTTCCCCCTCCAATGGTTGGATTATCAAATTTTTCAAAAGAGGTTTGGTAATTTCCTTCCCCACAATTTAAGGAGCTAGAATTTTTTGTCGAGGTTTGGAAATTTCCCTCCGAAATTCTAGAATTAATTTCCTCTGGAGAAGTTTGGTAACTTCCTTCTCCATGGGTTCTAGAATTATTTGAATTTTTATTTGAACTAGTTTTAATTTTCCTCTCGTTTTTATTCTTTATTTTGTCTTTATTCATATTTTTATTTTCAATTTTATGTTCTTCTTGATTAAATATTTCGTCTTCGTTCTCGTAATTAATTTTTTCCATAGTAATAATATTTTGATAATCTTTATTTTTAGTTTCGGTTTCTTTATGGATTAGGTCGTAACCACGTTCGTGATAATTTTTGATTTCGTCTTCATTTTTGATATTGACGTTGATTTTAGCCATTTCCTGTGCTTTTGATGTTTTCTGTCGGTTGTTAAATGGCTCGATGTTCGATTCATAATCCTCGAGTAATTTATTTAATGGTTTCAAATGTAAAGTTGGTACTCGAATTTCCATTTCCTCATCTAAGGTGCTTATAACGTTTAGATAAGCCTTTCCTCTTGATTTAACATTTCGTCTTCGTTTTCGTGATTGATTTTTCCAATAACAATAGATTTTTGACCATCTTTATTTTTATTTTGGATTTCTTCAAAAGTAATATCATCATTGCTTTCAAGATTGTCTCTCTTTACTTTACTGCTCACGAGTTTTCCTGATGAGTTTGGAAAATTCTCGCGGTTATTGCATGCCTCGTCATTCAATTCATGATTATCTAATAGTTCACCTAGTGGTTTCAAGTGCAATGTTGGTACTCTAATTTCCACTTCTTCATCTAGTGTGTTTATAACATTCAAATAGGCTTTCCCGGAAACGTTTTCTACTATAGTATCTCCCAGATAAATTCCATGCTCTATTTTCAATTTTGGTATATATCCTATCTTTATCTCAGGGTTTTCTACCCTTACATCAAGAGACACGGTAGTGTCTCGCGCCAAGTCACGCGCAGCAACAGCGAGGCACCCCGGGTATCTATACACGAGTCGGCTAGTTGAGATACCTTAGATTTATTGGATCTCAATAACGGCTGAACTAATCGTATTTTTAATAGGCTTAATCGATACCTTGGGTTTAAATTATATAATAAAAGTGTCTTTATATATTAAATTTGCAATGCAAGAGTGCAGTGTTATATAGCGTACGCTTT